GAGTGCCAGTTTGGTTGCCCTAAACCTCTTGTCTATGCGTCTATGCCTCTCTCTCTCTCGCTCTTCCTTAACTCTATCATTCGCTCTCTGCACTCACTATCTGCGCCCAATTCGCCATCATCGACCAGATCACACCACTGCTGCGAACAATACTCACGTTAGCAGGGTATATCCACCACCATGTCCATATTGATATCTAGGTCAGCTAAGGGCATCTTGTCTACCCCGAGTTCAAATCTGGCCACTCCCATATGTATTCGTCTAGATGGTTCAGGATAAGCAAGAGGGCGACCAACGCCGCAAGTGACGAAGCAGCGAGACTTTGCGTGCTTGCTTTACTTCTCCGACAACTTGCACAATGCATCGAACTGCGTGAAAGGGCAGGCACGAGCTCGTCGAGCTTGGTGAGGAGCGAAGAGTCCCCTCATCGGGGGTCTTGCTCGTTGTTGCCGTCATCGTCTCAGAAACAAGGTTGGGAAGGTCGTTGGCGAGACCGAGATCAGCAGATGCCAGAGCGATTATGGGAAAAAAGTAGTATTAGGTCGATGCGACTGCAATCCGGTCGGCGTGCAATCATGCGTTCACTGGAAATAGTCTGTGCGCGACACAGAGCAACGTACCTCCACTTGTGCCCGTCTCTCGTCCTTTCTCGTGCGTTATGCAATTTCATCCCACTTGAGGGCGGCCCGTTGTTGCTCCTTGGCCGAACGGACTACCTTGCGACGTCCCTTCTCCTGGATGCGACGCCTGAAGTCAACGCCGAGCAGGTGCTGTAAGGGTGCGCCAGTGCAGTGGCGGACGACGTCGTTGAACGAAGACTCACATCCTTCGCATAGACACCCAGTTGCTGCAGTGACGAGCGGGCGTTTGGGAGGTTGCGCTGGCCACTGGAGAGAGCGTCGTAGTACAGGGGGCTACTACCTCCTGAGTCCGGAAGTTCTCTCCTAACAGTGATGTCAGCTAGCTTCTGATGCCTATAAAATATCACGCACCTTGAACCGCACATATGTGCCTCGGCTATAGAGAGTGTTGAGAGAAGTAATAGTGATCCAGTTGGCGGATGGTCCGTTCGTATCATGTTGCGGAGTCGAGATATGAGTGCTTAGCGCTCAGTACCGGTGGCGTGAGACACCCTCGTTTAGGGCAAGTCGTCACACGGTGCCAATACACTTGGTAGTAGTAGTAACAGTTGAACAGGACATTGCTTCGACTCATACGTCGTTTTAAGCCCCAACAAGCTTCGCTACGACATGGCGCAAGATATGTGCCGCATCATCTCGGTATTCGTCTATCAATCCAGCGCTGACATGAAGCTAGTCTACTTAAGCTGGACGTTGATGTCCTTAACATCTTCCAAATGCTCCGGCCTGCGCGTGGGCTGCGTCCATTGGCATTCACTTGTCGATCGTTGAGGACGCTCTGCATGACGGTCTTGTTTGATAGCTGTCTTGTCACTATTCAGTTGCCCATCGCCACATCCTCCTTCATTTCGTCGCATGTATGGCCGTCTGTGAGGTGAGTGGCGAACGCCTTCGCATTCACGTCCCGGAGCTAACATTTTGCAATTGAAAGGTCCCTATACTTACTGGACGTTAGCTCCGAAATGCACGCCTTGAGGTTGCTAAGACGACGTCTTCACTTTACTGCTGATCCTCTGATATGCGGTGTCCTCGATAGCGCATTCTTGAGGTGCACCCTGCAGGCGATGCCTCGGCTACATGCAGTACACGGAGTGTTGAAGGGAGCAGAGGTGATGGCTTGGGTTGAGAGATCATTGATGCGATTCTCTGTGCGTCTCAGCTACGCCAGTAGGCGTGTTCAATTCTTGTCGCTCGCTCATTTCTTCGCGCGCCTACCGGGCGCCTGCCCACCTGGATTCAAGGTCAGCTCAAGCGCCTGTAGCAAAGCGAGCAGAGGTGCGCAGGCAGCGGGTGCAGCGAGATCGACGGGATCGTCCTATGCTAGGTTTGTTATACCCAGAAAACCTGTCCGAGAGTGGATGGAGACATCGGGAGAGCGTTATAGACTCGTTGCTCGAGAATAATCGTATACAATGCGCCCAAATCCGAACCAGATTCGGCACAACATACACATTTGGAAAAACAGCCTTTGCGAATTGACACTAATTATCGCTATTCAGATAATCTCATCTATATTAGCAAGTGTTAGCAGAGATAACATCTACATTAGAGCTACTATTCAGATGCACTTCTTCAGTAGTGCAACTAAGCACTAATTAGTATACTTGGTACTAGTTATAACTACTCTTTACTATCACTTTTTCTATAGTGCCGTGTAGTGCTAACATGATACTACAATAGCACTACTGCAAATGTGATCCTCTAATTTTCGCTATTTTGCACTACTGTAGTACTATTTTGCGCTATTTTAGCACTACTCATCTAGGGGAGACTCAAATAAGATGACAATCCTTTCTTTATAGCTCATAGTTCTCAACTCAAGCATTACACACCTCTATAGCTGCAAAATCATTATGATAGCTGACTTATATTTGAGAGCACAACTCAACACAGAACTTGTT